AATAAATTACAATATCAGTACTCATATAGTCATATAGTATTTAATATGTATCATTTTAAATTCAAATTTCAAATCTAAAATTTCAAATTTAAATAAAATTTTGTTTAAACTTGCAAATTTAATTTTTTATTTTATCAACCCGTATAACATACGGGTCTCACACCTAGTTGTATAAATATAGGGGGTTTATTGTGATTTCAAAACACCTAGAATAACAGTCTCTGATTTCGTATTCTTGACAAATATTGTGTTCTCATTTTGTATTTTGTGATTAAGATCATGTGGTTCCAAGCTAATATATTTACAATTTGTAATAACGAATAGAAACTACAACAATTATATTCGTACGCAACCAACGGTTAGAAGCCATTGGGATCTAAATTCAAAATATTTGTATTCTTGCATCGATTTTTAAAATTTTTTTTTTCATTGTAATTATTCCAACATTTTAATAGATGTCTTTTGAGCGTATGTTTTATTAAGATGGCGACAATAATTTATATCAATTTCTTAGTTCAACGTAATAATTATTACTTCAAAATAATTTAGTAATTTTTAACAACAAATATTTCAAATAAATATACTATATCATTTTTCATCCGCAACACAACACACATGATTCCCGTTAATTCTTTGAGCAAAATCATCATCTTTGTGTTTTATTATTGCACATGAAAGGTCCTTTATGCAGTGATAGAACAGTATGGTTTTACAACTTTTTTGGCTTGTGGAAAACAATAGTAAGCAGCCATAATTATTTTTGAATGACAAGCAGAAAACAAATATATCAAGTAACCAAAAAAATCCGGCAAGAAACTGACAAAGTATATGAGAAATGAAACATAAGGGTCTAAAATCCACCATAGCTAGCTAAGAATTCAACACAAAACAACACCTATCTAAAAACAAAAAAGCCAAATAACATTTATTGAAAGCCAACACTTAGCACCTTCATGCCTTATTGCCTTCAATAAAGATACATATATGGAACAATTGGGACCAGAGAAGCAACAAATAAAAAAGCAGAACCAGAAGTAGCTTAACGTTTAAATCAGTAGTAGCAGCTGTAAATGAACCTCAATAGAACCATAGGTCCCATTATTTAATATACATGTTGTCAAATAATTCTTTATAATATATAAATAATTGATGTAAAATTTAATCAAATATTGATCACAACATGTACGGTGTCAACCAACCTTGATTCTTTTTTTGTACGTTAATATCTGTGATACTTCATAAAATATTTGAAGCTAGATTAATTAAATCTAATGATTTTTTTTAAAGTTAAAAATCCATGAAAACAAAAATAAAATAATATAAATGATATTAGAGGAATGTCGTGATTCTTTTAAAATACCCACATTTTAAAGACGTGTAGGAAAGCACTTCATGGTCTCGATTTAGAATGGCAAGGTCAAAAAAATTCCGTCCATTTGTAGCTCTGAAAACTTTCAATTTAACTAGAAGATTGTCTTTATTGATTTGTTTTCGTATGTTTTTCGTACATTTTGTTCCACGTATTAACATAACTAAGTTATAACCCGTAAAAACTACTGTGAGTATTTTTAAAAATATTGTTGGAAAAAATATTTAAAAAAATTATATTTGAAAATGAGAAGATATTTGCTTCCCTATATTCAAGACAACCGGGGATAAACCGGAAAATAGTCATAAACAAATGTCCCTAAAATTATTTAGTATATACTAACGATAGGTAGGTTTCATATTATTTTTAAGCTCGGATCTTAAGTTCTTTTGTTGAATTAGTCAATTGTAATATTATATTTTTAAATACAATCTTATTCTATAATAATTCTTTATATCAATATTATTGAAGAAACTTCAACATTTTTTGTTAATAGCAACGGATAAGATGCTATTTTTTATAATTAAATCAAAATAATGTATATATTGAATATTATTCATATTTGATTTATTTGAAAATTTATGCATTATTAGTTTGTATGTTGTAGATTTATTTATTTATTTATTTTTGTTGTTATTTATCCAATAAAAAAAAAACCTTAAAAGGTACTTATTATAATATCATTTTTAAACAACATTCCAATCAAACCACCATTTTCAACCATCGAAGTCTTTAACCTATTATTACTACCAATTCGGCTATTGATGTGTTGATCAAAACAGGAGATTACAAGAGTAACGAAAAAACATTAACAATTAAGCTCCATCCTTCATATCAACGCTTGAGTCCACGACACAATACTATAAATTTCTTTGTTATCTAGTACTGCTAATAAGTTAATCTAATCCTTATGATCTATTCCAAATAAGTTATTAAGTTAAACTAAAAAGAGATAAATTTTACCTCTGCATTAGGTTGAATATGCTTCCTGATTGTCTTATAAGTTATAACGGAAGAACTAACATTGGATGAGTTCATTAGAAAGGGATGAAGATGATACCATGTTGGCATCATCGTATTATGTATTCCAATCTCCATTAGTCTACGTTAATGTTTGTGTGAAGTAGGAATAATTTCTTATGACATGCATTGACGCCTCACATACCGTGTCTCAAACATTATCCGGAGCATCTAAAGTTCGATCAAGTAACTTGCAGGACTGCAACACTTGTTCAACTCTCATTTTAAAAAATCTACAAACACTTCAGATGCTCTTTCATATTCAAGGAATTGCATTTAAAAGGCTAAAACATAATAAGGTCATTTTTTTGTTGTCTTTTTTGTCTTCCACATAAATGATGTTTAAATAAGATCAAACTATTAGCCTCTTTTTGCTAATTAACTTGCTCTATTAAGTTGTTTTTCCTGTACTAATTCAATAAGAACCACCCATATATAGTTTACCAGATTAAAGGTCTGTTTGTAACATCCCAAAATTCAAGACCAAAAATTTCATTTTTAAATAAATTATTATAAAACCATAAGTATAAAAACATACATAATAACATTTCATGTCGAAACCAAAGTGTCAATAGTCAAACATGTTATCATAAAATAATATAAGAGTGTAATCCCAAATATCTCATGTGCGGAAAATCATAGTGTGATGCGCTGCGATCGAGCCAGCTCCTTTCCTTTAAAAACGTAGTACCTGAAACCAAAACTGTAAACCGTAAGCACGAAGCTTAGTGAGTTCCCTCATCATACCAGATACCATACATAACACATACTGTATAACATATCCGGGTACTAGCTACCCATTCGGTCTCTTTTAACCGGTAACTTACCTAGCATATCAGGGTGCTGGCCTACCCCTTCGGTCATGTCGACCGGTAACTTGCCTAGCATACTAGTGTGCTGGCCTACCCCTTCGGCCCGGTCGATCGGTACCTCGCCTAGCATATCAGGGTGCTGGCCTACCCCTTCGGTCATTTCGACCGGTACCGGGGACTATTTCACCCCCTACTCTACCACATAGCATCCTAGTGCATAAACATATAAATCATATACTACCTAGCTTGTCTGGGTGCTGGCATACCCCTTCGGCCCTATCGACCGGTACTAGGGTCTATCCTACCCCTCATATCACATATCACATAACATCATAGCATACTAGCACATAATCATAACAACTCGCAACATACCAGATAATTATCACAAAGACACTCATCTCTATTATAACTCTTACTAGTGGGCCGGCCTTGGTGCCTTAGACCCACTTCTACTGGAAGGTAACTCACCTCACACTGCTGAAGTCCCGTAGACAAAACTCTAGTTGCTGGATGACAGGTTCTCGAACTGTCAATCATCAAAATAACACCCAATCAGTAATTGGGTTCCAACATATACCCATAAGTCTATGCTTGGGGCAAAAGGCTACTTTACCCCCAACTTAGCTTGACTCAAGCCCAAGGCCCAATCCAAAGGCCCAAAAGTCAACTATAAGTCAAAGCCCAACATATGGCCCAATTTTCCAAATTGGGCCCAAACCCTTACATGGTCTTATACTAAGGCCCAACCATTTATTCCAGTCCAATATTTAGCATTCTAATGGCTCAGTATCTCATGATCATAAAGGCCCAATTATGGCCCATCTATGGCCCAATTTCCAAATTGGGCCCAAACCCTCACATGGGCCTTACCCTAAAGCCCATATAATTATTCTAGTTCATATGCTTGTTCTTGGATGGTTCATTATTAGCCCAATCACCAAAACCTAATAGGAAGGCCCAACTTAAGGCCCAAGCAAGATTAGGGTTTTTACATAAAATGACGATTAGGGTTAAGTGTTTCTTACTTAACCCACTAAGGACTTAATCCATTAAGTTCATCACTCTATTAGATAAATCATATGGTGTGCGCGGGTGTAATTCATAATTCAATTCCAATGGTCCAAAACGTGAGTCCCGATAAGTCCAAGGCCTTTATATCCAAAATTAGGGTTTTCTAAACCCTAATTAGGGTTTCCAACCCAATCACAACCCAATTAGGCCCAATAGCTAAGTCTTTTGATCAATTAGGGTTTCATTAGGCCCACTAGGGTCTCATAAGGCCTATTAGGGTTTCATAAGTCGGGCACCACCCACTACCACCCCGGGTAGTGGTGGTCAACAGCGGCTCACGGTGGCGGCTACCACCTCACGGTGGTGGTTATGGTTCTAGTCCATTTTTGTCCAAGCATCCCAAAAGCAACTAAGGCAAGCAAAAGCACACCGCCACCCAACACGGCGGTTGGTGGCGGCAGCCACCACCTCACAGTGGTAGTTATGAGTTTCTTTTTATTATTCCGATAAAATACAATGTTACAACGCGAAATCCAAATAAACACACACACACACAAATCACACTAAGATAAACACACATACATACAACCACCCTTGTGGTGGCCGGCGGTGGCACATAGTGGCAACCACCACCTCACGCTGGTGGTGGTGGCTTTTCCGGCCAAATAAACACCCACACACAACACCCTCTCACTGCAGAAATAAACACAAACGCACCAAAACACACACACAACTACCTTTCACGGTAGATAGTGGCGGCAAATTAGGGTAACATGGCGGCAGCGGCATCAATGGTGGCTAAAGACGGTAATAGCAGTGTCATCGGAAAAAGAATCAGCCGCTGAGGCAGCAGTGGCGACGTAACAGCTCGGAGAATGGCGGCGGCGGAACAGCAACGCTACAACAAAGCTTATGGCGACTAAGTCTTCACCGGTTGCGGCGCAGCGGTGGTAACAACCCCCGTCGTTCGCAGTCCACATATCGGCGATTGGGTTGCGGCGGTTCACAACAACAATCTTCGCCGGCGGCCATAATTTGTCGTGGTCTTGGTTGGTTGGAACTGCAAGGGGGTCGAATGGTGGATGAAGCTCCACATGGCGGTGACTGAAGAAGGAGAAGGAGGAGAACAGTGGAAGTCTGGTGGTTGCTGTTGTCGTTGGCTGATCGGAAACGAGGTGGTGGCGGCGCCGGTGAGGGAGGCATAAGGGTGGGTGGCAACTGAAGTGTTAGCTAGGTTTAGGGTTACATATTGCATATATATGAAGGGGGTGACGGGTTCATGCCCATCAATTTCAAGACTTAGTCCATAATTTCACTTCTAGCCCCTCCTTCAGAATTCTTTTCAACTTAAATCCGTTATTTACCAAATAGCCCCCTTCCTTAATAATTCATTTCAATCCAAGTCCCAGAAGTTACCGTTTAACCCCCAACATTCCAAAAATCCTTTCAATTTAAGTCTAATAATTACTAAACACCCCCTGATTTATGAAAATCTTTACAAAATACATCCCAAAATCACACTTTAACCCCTAAAACCCAAATTATATCATTTGGCTTCCGAAAACCAACACCTCACAAAATATTATGGATTTTAGGGTTACTATTAATATTAATTTTATCTATTTTATTTATTTAATAACCGGGGTGTTATAACTCTCCCCCACTTAAATTAGATTTCGTCCTCAAAATCATCCCTTACCATCCCTTACACGCCAACCACTCAAGTAACATGGTCACAATCCTGGGCACACCCTAGCCTTCCCAAGGTAACCGTGACCAACCTTCGCAAGGCCCTAAAAATCCACAGATGAACGAATTCCTTGCAACCATCACATTTACTCAACCTGAAATCTGCAGTCTCGAGATGGTCTGACAGACCACCCAAACTGAATCATTATCGTTGAATCCAGTCCACTTGCCTCTAAACTGACTACTCAACTTCTGATAACTCGAGGTTCCCACTGGAAAATAGGGTCACAAATCTAATTATCCCAGCAGATCACGTATACTTGGCCAAGGCTCGAATAATCCTGTTGTGAGTGACTTGTCGCTTCCCAATTAATTAGCTATTCCGTCCGTACTTGCAACCTAAAGAGCAAATACTAATATTGCCAAAACACTGAAACTGCCGAAGCACTTGTGACATCCCCAAATTTCATGGCCAGAAAAGACCGATTTGTTTATGCTTTGTTTTAAAATCAGAGTAATCTTTTAAAGAAAACTGTTGCGGAATTTGTTCCCAGAAAACATGATAAATACTGTATCCAAGCATCTCCGAAGAGATGTATATGATTCGTTTTAAAACATTTGGGATGTCCTGGTCAATACAGACACATAAGCATAAACCGAACTTACATTCATCTACACTAATGATATACATCTCTTTAATCTCTCAGTGTAATGTGTCTTTGTATCGATACCTGTGATATAAAAATATTGAGTGGGTCAGGTTTGGAAAACCTGATGAGTACATAGGGATTTCAATCCCACAATATTATAACATATATATAATTTAGAATTCACACAATATAAAATTTTCTCTCTCTCTCTCTCTCTATCTCTCTCTCTATCAATCCTCTCAACGAGACTATCTATACCCTTGGACCTTTATATTTTAACTCTTACTCCCAGATCTAATCCATATTCTCGAGTCCATGATTGTGCCCATTCCATACTCTCGGATAAGGGACAATTGGTCTATGTCTAAATCCATACTCCCGGACTAATGACAGATTCTATGTCCTGTCCATACTCCCGGACTAAGGACAACTGACTATGTCTTAATCCATACTCCCGGATTGATGACAACTGACTAAGTCTTAATCCATACTCCCAGATTAATGACAATTAACTAAGTCCAATCCATACTCTCGGACTAGGGACGAATAACTATGTCTAATCCATGCTTCCAGACCAATGACATATTTTAAAGTTCTATTCTCCGTATATATCTCACTCGTACTCATAAAGAGATACTACCCCATAACCATTATAACAAATCTTAGGTTTACTCTTTAACCTAAGTTATCATAAACAATCAGGTATGTTCTTTAACACTTAATTCAGACATCATCAAATAGCTCACACAAAACATATATTTAATACATTCAAACAATACTTGTATTAAAATCATGTTCATGAAAGGGACTATGAACTCACTTGATAAGACGATGATCGAACAGCACTATGGCTCTATAAAGTAATATTCTTCGATGAAACCGGGATATCTTCAAAAACCGGGCTTCACGCGGGCAGAGTTTCGGCTCGAAAACTCTTTTTCTCGGGATCTTCGAGGCTTCGGGACTTGCTTCGGGTGTCGGGGATGATATCGGGACTTCGGGGGGCTAAAAGTAGGCTTAATGATGAGAAAAGTAGGAGAGAGGTTGAGAAATTAGCAACCAAAACCGGCTGCCTTCGATTTCTATTTATAGGGCTGAATTTCGTTATTCACGTCGTGAACCAGGCTTGTTCACGTCGTGAACTTGGTCTTCATCAAGTGCGTAGTCGTGACATCAGTCTATCAGGATCTGAAGGTGTCAATCACTGAGTTCACGTCGTGAGTTTTGACACAGGTTGAAGTTCGTGCCCCGAACTTCAGAAATTCATATCTTTCGTATACGAGCTCCGTTTTCGACGTTCTTTATATCCACGCGTAGGTGAGATTATGCTCTACAACTTTCATTTAGACTTCGTCGGCTAATTTTGACTTCATTTTTAATATTATATTTTTAGTAGGCCGGGACAGGAAAAGTCTGTTATAAATTAATAACTTCTTCATCTGACGTCCGTTTTCGTCTGTCTTTTTACCGTTGCACTACTATTAATGAGATATTCAATTCTCGTTTATATTGTTTCGGCTAAAAATCACTCGATCTAAATATCGAGTTTTGGGCTGCATACTGCTAAGCTGAAACTTAAAAAAATCATAACTTCCTCACACAAAGTCAGATTTGGACGTTCTTTTTATGTACGCTCTCGGTTTAACGTATTCTACGACTTTTGTTTAGATCGCTAATGCCAAATATCGCTCTATCGTAAATTCACTATTTACGTCGCGCAGTGTTGTGCCTGTTCTGTCGCGAAACTTCGACAAGTCATAACTTCTTCGTTATAACTCGGATTTCAACGTTCTTTATATGTACGGAAACCTTGTGACATATACTACAACTTGATTAAGATTATTTATTCTAAACACTCTTCTATCAAAAAGTCATTTTTGACACTTATCGTCTCTAAATTGACTAGCCCGGATCTACGGGCGTTACAATTATCTCCACCTTAGGATGATTACGTCCTGGATTCATCAACGAAAAAGGTCTGGTATAATGATTCCATATGTAATCTTTTCATCCTAGGTAATAATCGTAACTTCTATGTTTCTTCGAATGAGTATCTAACTCTAGGACTTCTTGATTGCAGGTGGTGCTCAAATCTTGCACCTGCTTTCTATCTTATGTTAAACTCCAAATTATGACCTTCAAGTCACAATCTCGATCCTTACTGGAGACTCCTTCTTCTTCTTTAACAAACTTAAGGCAAGTTCTTTTATCACTACCATGGATCGATGTGTCATATTTTAATGACCTATCATCGTGTGATGCAACGTTTAGACTCAAGTCTCTTAGAGTCAAATTCCAGAACAAACTATACATTCCTTTATGTTCTGATGTGATATAATTACATTTTAACATGTAGAATCTCTAGCTACCAATTTCTCTAACAACGAGCGCGATTCTATTGATCGCATTGATTTCAATCTTCTGACTTAAGTCAGATGTTACATCGAACTTGGTTCTCTGAACCACGTAACATACTCATCGTAGTCGGACTCAATTTGATATGACCGCTAGGGTCGGAATAAAAATCATCTTCTTAGTCATTACCAAAACAATGGTAATGGCATACATGAACAAAACGGAATCAATTACTAGCTTCTTGGTAACCTTGTGACTTTCCCTGATCCAAGTGTGAGTCCTGTGCTTCCAGTAGTATAGACCTCTACTACTATTCACACCTACTCATACTCGTCCCAAGTATTGTCTCGCAGTCCCCAAGTCCTAAAATCACAAAACAATTTAACATATACGAATGTGTCCAATTAATCATAAAAATTTTCCTAGACTCTACTAGGACTTCTTCCATGCGTATCTTCAATCATCAATTCTACTTCAACTCGGTTGGTGATGGAAATTCCAGACGATGGGACAACTTCAAGAATTACACCAATCGTTCCATCATCCTGCCAATCGAAGGTGTACTTTAGACGTACCGTACTCCTCTAAACGTTCCGTTATTTTATCAGACATATTCTAAAGTCAAGATACCACTCTTACGATATCTTCCGATAGGTGTCATTCACTATCATAAGCCTATCATTTCCTCCATTTACTTAATTCTCTACGAGTCTTCACCATAACGTTTTGTACACCCAAGCAGACGCTCGGTGTACTTAGGCGAGAATTTTAAGATAGGAAAGCTTTATTTACTATAGACGTATAAATCTCCTTATCACTCTGAAACGTTTACATGCTAGTTCTAATATCGTAGTCATACGCTTAGAATCCTAAACACATAAGGTTTCCAGATCCGGTCGGCAACAGACCATACACCCAAACAAATAATAGCATATATGGTAAACATATAGTATTTAGCACATAAAGGCATTTTAGGCATCTTTCCTAAAATAAACTAGTGCTCGCGTCTAAAATATGGTAGACACTAATATCACAATCATCACTTAGCATTCTAAGTTTAAGTCTAGAAATCCTACAAATTCCTAGTTCTCTTAAACTAATGCTCTGATACCAACTGTGACATCCCCAAATTTCACGGCCAGAAAAGACCGATTTGTTATGCTTTGTTTTAAAATCAGAGTAATCTTTTAAAGAAAACTGTTGCAGAATTTGTTCCCAGAAAACATGATAAATACTTTATCCAAGCATCTCCGAAGAGATGTATTTTATTCGTTTTAAAACATTTGGGATGTCCTGGTCAATACAGACACATAAGCATAAACCGAACTTACATTCATCTACACTAATGATATACATCTCTTTAATCTCTCAGTGTAATGTGTCTTTGTATCGATACCTGTGATACAAAAATATTGAGTGGGTCAGGTTTTGGAAAACCTGGTGAGTACATAGGGATTTCAATCCCACAATGTTATAACATATATATAATTTAGAATTCATACAATATAAAATTTTCTGTCTATATATATAACCAACTCTTACCCCACCCCATCAATCCTCTCAACGAGACTATCCATACCCTTGGACCTTAAATTTTAACTCTTACTCTCGGATCTAATCCATATTCTCGAGTCCATGATTGTGCCCATTCCATACTCTCGGATAAGGGACAATTGGTCTATGTCTAAATCCATACTCCCGGACTAATGACAGATTCTATGTCATGTCCATACTCCCGG